CATTTTAAATTTGCAGAGGTGGAGGGGCACGTAACAGAAGCATAAACATGATAGGCTAACAAATGTAGGCGTGTCTCTGTGTTATTGGATGGGTGTGACAGCAGCAAAAAGTGAAGGCAAAGAATTTATGAGTGAGCATGCGTGAGAGAAGTGAATGGCAGGATGTGTGAGAATTAGTCACAGGTCGAAGCATGTAAAAGAAAAAGTCTTTAGACTGAACGTATGCAATGAACAGAAATATCTGATCAGGATCAGAATCAGAGCTCAAAGTCTATTAAAAATGGAAATTCAGCTACTCTGTCACAGAGAGAAAGTTAACAGAAATATGTTAAGAAAAGGCTTTGTAAAAAAAACGTGTTTCATTTTCAAACCAAAAACGGTGTATTGTGTGTATTATTAGTTTTTGTTGTTGTTTTAAAGTTGAGGCTTAACATAGGCTTGGCATCTGCTGAGGCACCTGCAAAAGATAGAACCAGTGACATTATTTGCATTTCCACATTCATTTAATGACCAAAAAAGATTTAATTTAAATTGAAAGATCGATGGAAATGGAGCTTTGAGGCACATAGACACAAGCAATATCAGGTCACGTCTACACACTATTGTTAGTATGATAATTTCATTGTTAGTTCTGCCCTCTTCAGGCCAGTCGTTTATAATATTAAATAGAAAACGGCACCTGCAATATACTTTAAATTCAACTTCATGGGGTGACAGAGCCTTTGTTATGTTGCAAAGTATATTATGTGGATGGGTAATCTATATATATATACGTGTTCAGCATAATTAATAAGAACACCAGCATGATGAATCACCTCCTGCCGATTTAATGCCATGCATCAGTGCAATCTGTGTCTCATTACACGTCACCCTGTCACACACAAACAGCCCTAGATGTATCGCAGAAGCTAATAAGACAGTTACACCACGCATGTGGATGCTAATAGCTGCTAATACTCTGCTCCCTTGGACACTGCTACAGTCACTGTACGTAATTGTGATGAATCGCTCCAAACCAAAGGCTCCACTCATCAGTATCTTGACCCCCCATTTAGAAGAGATGAATTCACTTTGTCGGAGGAGATCTTGAAGTGACACACTTGGATAAGTAAGTAGGCGCCATGGGGTTGAGTGGACTGCAGGCAGCGGCCACGGATAATTTGTCACCACCAAAGCATTTGGAGATCCATTAAGGGACAGGTGAACAGGGAGGTGAGGGGGAAAAGGCCCCCTGGAGACAACTGGACATGTGGTTTTTGCACGCTGAGTAAATTCAGCCATGCCATGCACGCACACACACACACACACACACATGCCAAACCGCACCTCTGTCCTTTATCTTCAGTGCCACAACCAACTGGTCATACATCAGCGGGCCATCTCCCCTGGCTGTTGGCAGAGTTGGATGAATGTGTTTTGTGTTTGGAAGTTGTTATTAGTTGTCCCAAGGGCAATTACAGGCAGAGACTAGTCAAATTTGTCCTAAAGTGTGAGTAATATGAATAGATGGTGACCATTAGAAACACATCACCAGGGTGTTAATCACCAGACAAATGTTGAATAAGGCCATCTTATTCACAGTTTCCTACTCATACACTGAAAAGAAAAAAGTATTCAGGGCAAAACATGTCTTTGCAAGGGGGAAACAAATAAAATCCTGATATAGGGGAAGATTCTACTGTGGCTACATTAATCACAATAAATGGATGTGGAGGTAAACGCAGCACAGTTGTTCATCGAGATGAATGACCACTTACTCGCGCCTCCTACCAACCCTGGAGTTTCTCTCTGCCGGGTCCCTTGAATTGATTGAGGAAGGTTAGCACAAGTCGCTGACATGGAAAACCTGCTGCATGGTATTTCTGCTGTTCCCGTAACAGCTGCGCTCCAAATTCCTGACCTTGGCTTTCTCTTATTTGACTGCCACATTCTTCACGTTTTCTGACTTACGTGTGTTCGTGTGTGTGTTCGTGTGTTCGTGTGTTCGTCTGTGTGTGTTCTGTCAGAATGAAACCACCGCGATCCCCGTTAGGACCCTTCATGTGGTCGAACAAAGGAGGACATTTGCATGCAAATTGTCCGAACGAGAATCGTCAAGCTCAGCAGATATATTTTCAGATATAAATCCCTCCTCCAGCTGCTTGTGTTGTCTTTGAGCAATGCTTTTTTTTCGGCAACCTAAACATCTTTGGGCTCACCTGTTCTAATTGATATCTGTTGGTTTTTTCCTTTGTTGGTATTAAATCAATCAAAGATCGGTGATGATTAGCTTTCTTGTGTGGCGAATAAAAGGAGGAAACAGATGGAAGTAATGCTAATGTAAAGTGATGTATCAGATTGGCACTGTGAACTGCTTTTTCTGCCTGGAGCTAACCTGCTTCCCAGCATGACTCCCAGTTTAGCTCACCACTAATCTGTGGATGTTGTTTTTGGTCAAGGCAGCTCCTTGACCAAAAACATTGTGTGATTTTACAGCATCACCCAACTCTGCAAAATCTTGATTTATTGACCCGACACATAATGTTTTGGCCATTATTTTGTTCCAATAGTTATGGTTATGATTAATTGCTGAAAATAATAATAAATGGATATTTTGAGTCTGTAAAGCATCACTGTAAAATTGGGAAAAGTCGTTACACAAGCAGGGAAATTCCATTTTGCTCATAGCATGACAATCAAGGCTTTCCTCTGCTGTATAGGTACATTTAAAAATGCTTCCCCTCTTAATCCTAATACTTGCATTCTCAGTCTAACTACAAAATATACACAAAGAATGAGAAAAAAAGAGAGCATCCTCCTTCAGCCACACCATCTCGAGCTCACTCACTTTGGCGGCCTCCTCTTTGTCAGTGGCTGGTTGATTCATTGAGATGTCTTGGCTAGACTGAAAATCTGAAATATTTAGAAGAACACACAATAAATCTGATCAAAAAGGAGGAAATTATCACTGGATTGTATTTCTTAACTGGGATCCACGTCTTTTCTTTGCAGGTTTGTTGACATTTGCCTATGAACTGATTCTGTAATGGGGTGCCGTGTTAACAGCTGCGACACTGTGGTATTGGATTGGTGTGTGAAGGCCTACCGTCGGCGTTTTTGCAGCGCCATTGAAAAGCTGCATTTTCCTCTTCACCTGCCTGTTGAGCTAGAATTGCCCGGATGAATACATGGAAATCATGAAAGCTGTTGAAACTTGACCCAAAATCTGTGGGTTTGAGACAGGCCCCATGAAAAAACTGCACTCCGCCTTAGCTCAAATGACACCTGGAACATTGGGACCAGCTGACCTACATTTGAATCCCATCGGGGAGAGCAAATGGAAATGAAGCGGTCGGTTAAACTCACTATTCTAAGCCCAGATTTTTTTTGTGTGTGTTCTTCTCAAGGTTATCTCAAAGATTGACATAACACTATTTTTTATAACCTGCACTAAATTGTAACACCTGTACATTTCATGAACAATTTAGCTGCACTGCGCTTCATTTAAAACTGCAATTTAAGTTGCCTGAGCACGGTTTAAATTACCTTTTATTCTAACAAACCAAATGCTGAACGCTTCATTGCATGTGCGGTCATGTACAGTCAATCTGTCGAGGTCACATTGAATCCAACATTGATTACCCTACTGGTGCAAATTGTCCTACTTGTGTTGTTCACACTCCTCCCGTTTCTATAATAAGTATAGCCACATGTTGAACAAAATGTTGCATAACAATCTCTTTACTGAAACTCCACTAATGTCTTCTTTAGGGATAATGTTCACATCTGCTGTTAGATGACGCAGACATGCACGGTGCTTGACTTCGTCTTGGAGTAGCATTAAGTAAAAAAAGACAAACCAAAAACGTATATAGACTTTGCATGCAGTTTGTGAGTGGGGAATAAGCCTCCACAGTTTCAATAGGGCAATTACCACCAGAATACAATGCAGACCGCCAAGCTGGCATCTTGATCCACTGCTGTGCTATAATCCCCCAACATACAGCACTTGGGGTGATTAAAATACTCAATACATCACAGATCAATGTGAGGCAAGGTGTTGAGTTAAGGTGCATGTGTTGCAAGATAAGTGATTCCCAAAATCCTGCTTTCACCCTTTAATTATGACTTAGTTCCTGCATTTTATACTGCAGGACTTGATTAAAACATTGTCAAAAATAAATGGAAGAGCATTTTATTGTTAACTAAGAGATTGACAGAACAGGCAATTCGTCAATTTTGAGAGTTTGGGCTATTTTGTCTTCGGATGGGGTGTTGCCGTAAAAAAAACAAAAACAGGCCATTGTAGGTAAAGAAAGATAATAATTACTGAGCCTGGCAAGGCGGTATTATTGAGAAACAACTAAAGAGTTTCCGAGATTAAATTCATAAATTTGTGAAGAAAAATTTATGACGTTATGAAGTTTTTTTTTCTTCTTGCCAATTTTCTCATAATGACTGATAACCCCTCCCCATGCTCCTTAATTATAGTTTTGTTTTTTTGTTTTGTTTTTTTTACCTACAATGGCCCTATATGTCTTATATTTCAAGCAAGTGGAAAGAAACATCTAAAATACACATTTAGGTGTTTATCTCACTACACTTTGTTCATTTGCATCTGTAGATTTGTCCTAGAATCACAAAAGAGTTAGCATTAATGCCTCAGTCAAATAATTACACATTTCCGAAAAAAAATGTAGTTAAAACAATTGTCTTAATGCAAGTAATCATTTAATTTAGGTATCAAACAACATAATGGTAATTTTAAAAGTTATAACCAAAATACGTGTCGTGTCCTTCACTTGTTATCCGTGGAGTTTGGTGTTCTCATTTGCTTGGTTAAAATTGTTTTAGGTGATTTGGGGGGCAGAGCAGACGGTGCAGCCAGGGGAGGAGGACAGACAGACAGTACGGTCAGTCAGACAGGCGGAGGAACTGAAGGACAAAGGAGAGCTGCCAGCAGAACAGCAGTCCAATCCACGCGCAGCCGGGACTCCTTCTGGCGCCGTGCGCGCGAACGTTCGGAGAGAGTGGTGCGTGATAACACGGACCGGTACGGCTCCTCGAGACCTCGCCTGAACACCAACACCAATATCATCAATATCATCAACATCAACAAGTGTCACTGCCGTGCTGTGTTTAATGAGAAGAGCCACGTTTGGAAATAGGATTCATTTCACTCGGAGATGTAATAACTTCCCCGCGTGCCGCTTAGGAACTTTACCGTCTTTCGTTTATTCCCTCGCGGACATGTGGACGCGTTGAGCAAGCTGACGGGACTTTTTTCTTCTTCCTCCAACTCATTTTTAAGAACTGTAGTAACTGCAGTATTTATTTATTTAGAAAGATGTTCATCCCTCTTTCAACCATGATACAGATGTGATGTGAGCAAACTACTGCTGCGCTATCGACGATGTATCCACATTGGTACTGTAGACAGAAACTGGATAAAAAAAGTATATTAGGATAAAACTCTTTCCCGGTAAGTATAGCTGATTCCTCTAAAACTAGTTGTCAATTAAGTCATTATAGCCTATGTGTATTTATTTATTGCCGATGTAATATTTTAACCACAGAATGTTAATGTGATTACAATCCGCAATATTACAAAACGCAACGAGTCTGCTTACTCTGCACTGAGGCATCATGAGCCTGATTGAATTCAAATCTTTGCCGAGGCTATTCTTTCCTCTGCAGGCGCACCTAATATTCTTATTTAGGGTGGATAAATGTCTACTCTGCTTAATTGTGAGTGAAGCTGTGATACGTTTAGTTGCTTCACTGAAATGATGTATTCCCTTGCAAAAAAATTAAAAAAAACCCAAACATCTGTTGACTATTAAACAGCCAATTTGCCATCTGATTTCATTTTAAAAGAGCAGTTCACACCGATATCTAATATACATATTGTTCCTCTTACATGAGTGCCACTCATCAATCTCGATTGCTTGGTGTGTGTTGTCTAGTTTTGGAGATATGTCAGCCGTAGAGATGTCTGCCTTCTCTCCAATATCATGAGACTATATAGCACTTGGCTTGTGGTCCTCAATGTGCAAAAAAAAAAAAGAAAATCCATTTCACAAACTCAACAGCAATGTCTATTTCCAGAAATCATGACCCAGACAGTTGGGGATAATCTGGAGTTACAGCCCCTTTAGGATATTACAAAAAAAAGAAAGAAAAGATGGTACAAATGACAGATAAGACAAGCTCCAGCACATCACGCATGTGTAAACCTTAACTTAGCCTAAAGGCTACTGTTTGACTTAATGATGTAGTGGTGTCACAACACAAGTGCAGGGTGTTTTAGCTGCCCTTGTGTGTGTAGATGTCCACATCTTGTCCACACCTCCTGCTGAGCTGAGACTGATGGGAACGTGGGGCGCTTATTTAAGACTCTTGCCTGCGTGTGTGTCTGTGTGTCCTGAAGCTAAGAGGTCCTTGGCAAAGACAAATGAAAAAAGAAAAAAAAGATATATATTAGAGAAGAAGACACTGGCTCTGTGGGGCGCATGACCTCGAACACAGCGAGGGGTTTATGGTGCGATCAGTTTAGCCCACCAGAGGGTGCGCAGTTGTAAAGTGATCCTCCTGCAGGACAGCTGGAGTCATTGTAGAGCCCACAGCTACTCCGATCATGCGCCCGGTGAATGAGACATGAGGGAGCTGTGCAAACAAGATTTACCTCATTGTAGGAGTCAGGATCATTTGTTTCATTGTTTTGTTTTTTCTTCTTTGTCCAGCTTTGGCATAATGACTAAAGTGCTCTAATGTCAGAGAATCACTTCATGTAATGTTTTATAGTAGACAATGCTGGCCAAAATTGCGTTATCCTAATTGGACGATCCGATGCTGGCTATGACCCATGAGCACGCCTCCATGGTTTATGAGATTTGCAGCAGTGGAATGGATTTTTCACAATAATCAGATTTTACATTTTGTAAACATTGTGGGAATAGCATTTACTCAGCTCAATTTGGGAAGACAAAAGGCATTTGCCAGCTCACTTACAAAAGGACTGATCTCAGCAGGAGTCACTGTCTGGATGATTCGTCATGTACACTGACAGCAGCTATTACCATCTTCTGCTGCACTGAAGAACTGCACTTTTTTTGCTGTACAGGAATAACCCTATTCTCTTTGTTTCTTTCAGTGCACAACACCGACGGTGCTCCGCTCCGAGCTCTGAGGCTTTCAACGTCGCCACAATAAACCTGAGATTACAGTTCCCTGCCGGAATATGCTCAGTGAGCAGCTTGGCTTTTGGATGAGCTCTTCTGAAACCAATTTCAAAAGATTATACAAAACTCTCTCAAATCAATTTTGAGGAAGTATCTCATAATAAGCCCTTATGTTAGTGTGAATAAACGGATCAGTTTGGGCATTTTGAAAGCTAATGAAGCCACAATCATCACCATTCAGTGCCGCGAAACAGGTGGAACTATGATTGCTTTTGCCTGACAGGACTTGTGGGAGGTCGCTGCTGAATATGCAGGACATAGTAGGGCCTGATATGCCCTGGAAATTCCCTATCTTTGATGGCTTTGGCCTCTTATGGGGCTTGCTCCTTGGATTATTCATTGCAAGTGCACCAGGGATGGCTTGCCCCACGAGTTGTCACTGTATAGAGAAGAGTGGCATGACTGTGGTCCAATGTATGTCTCGCAACTTGGAGAGAGTCCCACCAGATCTTCCAAGAGATACTGTTGTCCTACTTTTGGCATCCAACCACATCACCCACATCCCCAACCACGCCTTCAAAGAACTGCACTACCTTCAGGAGCTGGACCTGTCTCACAATGACATCGAAACTGTGGACCTCGGAGCTTTTCAGGGTGTTTCTGACAGCCTCCTGGTCTTGGATCTATCAAACAATCGCATCCAAAGTGTCCCCAAAGAGGCATTTGCGCGCCTGCGAGCAAAAATCAGCCTCTCGAACAACCCGTGGCACTGCGAGTGCACGCTGCAGGAGGTCCTGAGGGAACTGCGGCTGGACCCCGAGACAGTGAATGAGGTGATCTGCTACACGGCGGTGCAGGAAGAATATGCAGGCAAACCGGTAATCCAGGTGCTGGACTCAGGGATCAACTTCTGCAACTTTCACCACAAGACCACCGACGTAGCCATGTTCGTTACCATGTTCGGGTGGTTCACCATGGTGATCGCGTACGTCATCTACTATGTGAGACACAATCAGGAGGACGCCAGGAGGCACCTGGAGTACCTCAAGTCACTGCCGAGCAGCTCGCAGATCAGCAAGGACTTTGACACCATCAGCACTGTTCTCTAGCAGGGCCGTGTGCGTGCCTGTAAATATGTGAGTAAATGTGTGGTTATGTACTAAATGACTAAAAAGCTGTTGCAACACTAGTGTTTAAGCACATTATTCTGAGGTCTTTCAGTGACTGAAATGGGTCATTTTGGTTTTTCAGGCCCCGTAAATAAATTTTTTTAAATTCCAAAAACATTTACGTTTTATTAAATATGAGTAAATCTGGCTCTAGAACCAGACAGAGCCACAGTGATAGCACATAATAAACAAAATACTCACATTTCCATGATGGATGATAGATCTAGACTAGAGAGATAAATGTTCCCACTCTGGTGTCGATCCACAGTGTGATTGAGTTTGGACTGAGATGAATGAGTCGCACGACTGTGTCCCTCAGTTACTTTGTATCGATTGATTTATGTTGTTCCGGTCAAGGTAAAGGCCTTTTTACGAGACTTTGGCTAACATATGAAATAGGGCAAGATGTTCATATTCAGTGTGCATAAAGCATTTGTAACAGCCCTGTCTCCAGGAAACTACTGACCCAGGAAATAAGGTTACTCTGTGCAAACACTGCATTGTGTCATGTTCAAGACACAAATCTATTCAAACTAGGAGAAGTTGCCATAGTTAAGCAGCTCTGATGTGTCTTTGGTACAGGGCTACTTTATTACCAGGCGATATTCCTGCATTGACGGCTCTAGGTGAAATGTCTTTCACACAGGGTGACAGACAGCATATTGTAATATGCGATGATGTAGAAGTATAGGGGTGCACACAACAAAGTAAACTGATTTGTTATCAGTTATTTATTGGTTAAACAACTGTTAACAGCCGCTTGCTGCTGCTGGTACATGACTTGATCAGAGCAGTGATCAACCTTTAAAATTCATCTGAAAATCAACCCAGTCGCAGAATTTTTTTTTGGCATTGTACAGTATGTCTCTACATTGAAACTAAATGTCTCTGAACCAAAAATACATTTCATATTAACCTACGTGTATGTCAATGTTATAGTGTTTTAACTGCTAATTGCACTTTGGGTGTATCCAAACTGCTTTCTCAATTACGTTTAGATTTAGGCAACATGAATACTTGGTTAGGTTTAGTAAAATATCTTGTTGTGGCTTAAAATAAGTATGTTACTTATGGTTTCACACAGGACACAAACAGTGGTCTCCTTTGCGAAAGTCTTGTGTTTGACCTTATCATCAGGCTCGTCTTCCTCCTTATGTGGACTTAAGTAGACTTTGGTTTTGACGTATCACAATTTTTTTTCTGATCAAACATAATCCGGGAGAAAATATGTTACCTCAAAAGGTAATTAAAAATTCAGTTTCGTAATATGGCAATGTCATTTTTTTGAGACTATGCTGCCGAAAACAGTCGAGAACGCCATGAAACTGCGCATAAAAGGTGTTCACAGGAAAAGGTGTTCACAGGGGTTCGCGGGGAGCTGAGGCCCCCCTCCCAAATCTCAACAACATTCATATGGACCTGCACATCAAGAAGTCGATTGGTTGAGTAAACTCACGTCACAAAGCAGGGTTGAAACAGAGATGAAAGAAACACAGCACAAGCCATGCAAACGTACCCGAACGACCCCTGTTCATTATTGCCTACATGCAGCTTGAAGAAGCATACTTCCAGCCAAATCAGTGGTCTGTTAAAAGCAAATGAACTGAGCTTAAGAGAGGTGTAATAGGTCATAGTAGAGAGATAACTCTCTGTAACCGCTTTCACATTACAGCCTTTTGGTTCAATATTAAAGCCCTATAGGATAACCTGATACGATAGCAGTACCCTGGGAGGAAGGTTAGACATTGCAATTGCAGTCTGTTGTGAATTTCATGATTGCTTGAGAAATTGATTTTATTTTTGTACCACGGTTCATGTCATTGTCCAATATATGGAAACCTTAGTAATCTGAAAAATGTCTCATTGTCTGACAAACTCCCATTGTTCCACAGGCCCGAGGCTCCGAAAATACAAACACTCGAAACAGAAGCGCATGGCTAACTATTATGCAAAATTATGTCTTCAGAACTGACCCTGAATCCTTGACCTTACTTTAGGAGCAGTGGGCCCTCGGAAGAATGGGTGTTTGTTTTCGGGATAACGAGCTGTCGAACAAACAGGCTTTCGTTCTAATTAATCGGACATTTTTTCGACTATTGGGGTTTCAGAATAATGGGCCATCGGAACAATGGTCCTTCCGCTGCACCATTTCCTGTGTAGGACTACAGTTTTGCACTGGTGTATCATCCGGTACACCACAGAGAGAAGATCAGTTGAGCTAAATGTTGTGTTACATCTAGGAGGAGTCACAGGTAAAAATAAGTCATCACAAAGAATTGTCATGTAAAAAGTATTTATCATCGCAGCTTTGTACTGATACTTTTCAGAGCAATTTTGGTGGTCCAAAATGACTGTGTGTATTTATGTTGGATGTCAATGTTCAGAAGTGTCAAACACCACATGATATCTGTTACTTGTCAACCACAGCGGCACAACACAAACAGCTATATTAACATGGCATTTCCATTATTATAATTGATTTCATTGTACACTGTACACAAACATAATTCATGAGTTGTGTCCAAGTGCCTACTCTCTGGGACTCCTACACTATAGCACTGTGCACTAAGTTAGAACAACTGAGTGCTAAGTCCTCTCCCTGTCCACCATTACAGAACTCTATAGCTATAAGGTATGCCTAGCTAGTTTCTAAATAGGGCTGGGGTGCTGAGTCATAATGGTGTTGATCCCCGATTCCACAAATGGGTGGATTTTTCCAAAAAAAAAGGACAAGAACGAGTGCCAGAAGACAATGACAGAAAAGTCTTTGAAAGTGTTACATGCTCTTCTGTGATTGACAACTTCCTGTACCTGTCCTCATGTGGTGATTCCCACTCATCTTGTAGTTCAACCAGGTTCAAATAAACAGAATTATTTGCAACCAATACTTGTTTTTAGTGTTGCATACTGTACTTGCATAAAGTACAGTATTGCATTACAGTGTCGACCTGTCTGTGCAGTTTTGAACTGTCTTATAAAAATGTTTGTGCTGGCCAATGTGTACACAACTTCTACAATCTAAAAAGCACACACATCTGTGTTGCTATTTTTTGTAAAATATGTCTTTAGCTAAACCCACGTCAAAGTGTTTGAGTATATTTCTATTTGTTTGATGTTTCTTCTTCATCTGTAGAAGAATTAGTCTATGAGCTGTGTATTTCTGTGATGGAAATGGAAGGGCTCCAATAACTTTGTTTGTGATAATATCAATTTTCTATCTGTTTGTTTCAATGTGTTTGTTTTATTTCAAGGATTTCAATGGACACCTTACCAGCAATTGAAAATAAAAAATAAAAAAAACAATTTTCAGGACAAAACTTTTTCAATCTTCTCACATTTCGTATTTTGGCTCCAAAGTTGGTGATGGCCAAGCATTTTATGAAGGAAGCCAGCTTTCATCATCGAAACAGTGTATTAGTTGGACCTTCTGTATTTCCGATTTTTCGACCTCGCCTTCTCAGTAATTTCAATTGCAACAAACACTTTAGCTGCAGAAATAAAAGGAGCGGATCTATGACATTATTTGACATCAGCTATTATTTCATTCCCTGTTGATGCAAAAGGTCAATGACAAGGACTATTCCTCCCTGAAAATGAGGACAAAATGCCACAATGTTGAAATACTCTGTTAAAAGTAAAAGTCCTGTATTTCAAATACTACTTATCTGTAAAATAGCAATTATATAATGTTGGATAGTTTACACTCTATAATAATGCCATAATGTCATAATTCACGAGTTGATTATATTTCTAATTAGTAGGTCTACCTAAATTCATCACAAAAATGTAGTGGAGTAAAACGTACAATATTTGCCTCTGAAAGGCAGTAGAGTAGAAGTATCAGGAAACAGAAATACTCAAGTACAAATACCTCAAAATTGTACTTATGTACAGTACTTTAGCTAATGTACAAAGTTACATTCCACCACAAAAATCATCGAATGTAATTTGTTGTGGTGATTTATCAGCGGCCTTTGATATTGGTCAACTTGTTTGTTGTAAGCAGGTTTCATGACGGACAGAGTGACCTGGCATTACTATGATGAATAACGGATTATTAATCTTCCAAGCAAGTGCACCTCACAGTGCAGGGTGTCCAGAGAAGCAAGCTCCGCAGCTTTTAGCTTATCCAGCCAGTATCCATAGTGCACAGTGCGGAGATCGCTGAAAGACTCATTACCCAGAGAAACCTGCGCCTGCTGCATCGGTTTCAAAGGCCAGTGTCACTAAAGTTCTGTGACTCGCAGTAGCAATTATCTGAATTGGTGTTTCCTAAACCTTCAGCACTGCACTGTTTATTGTCTTTTTTTGCTGTATTTTCTTAGCTGCCCTTTGTCAACTAACAGAGTTTCTGGTAATGGATCTGAGAGGCAGATGTTGGCAGTAGGCTTATTGCAGCAGGGGTGTGTGAATCTGGAACTGAAATAAACCAATTCATTTAGTATTCTAATGATCTGCAGAGCTATACTTAAGCGTTTCAATGAATTATGCCAATGTGCAGACAAACATTTGTTGTCCAAGTTTGACCATCCATCCATCCATTAATTCATGTTCCTCCACTTTTCAGTGCACTGGTTGTGGCTACAACAGTCTACAGCAGCCGAGTCCCTCTAGCCCAACTCAATCCGCAGTTTCTTCTTCAGCCAACTATTACCAGACAACAATGTCCATCAGGGACATACTGGGAATGAAATTCAGCTGGCTAGTAATGTGAGCTTGCCAATTCCACCATGTGTTAATGCCAACATTACACTGGGTCCCTGCTCCCAGCTACTAGCAGACTACAGCCAGTAGCAGACATCCGCTCCGGAGTTGGAGGCGCTAGGGTTTTGTGCTGGCTGAATTCCAGTACCCACAGCCGCGACGGTCCGTCTCCGAGGCTGGCGCCCACGCTCTCTAATTTGTGGTCTGATAAACAGTAAATCCGTCAAATTCAGTGCCCTATGTCATATCAATATTATCCAAGCTGCTGTAGCTATCATATTTGTTGACTCTGTGGCAACACTTTTCACCATATGGAAGTAGACGTGGTTTCATCGCTTAGCCCCTTACCTATTGTCTAGCCTCTATAGAAATTATGCGTTGGGTGGACTTAGGCTCAGACCTCGGTGTGAGTTTACACTTTAAGGATCACAATTGAGGTTAGGCAACTAAAACACTGTTAAGGATGGGGAAAGGCTCATGGTTACGGTTAATTAAAAGGCAAACATTAATTGCAGGAGCGTCACGGGAGGCCAACTCTTAATTGCGGATGCCCCACTAGTCCATCAGCGAATCTTACACACTAATCATACCCTATATCATCAGCCAGATCAAGACATACTAAATGAATGGCCTCAACCTTAAACATAGATATTAATGATACTGTCAGACAGTGTAGAATGATATGATTTTAACAAATTTGAAGCTACTTGGAGCTATATTCAGGGGGTAAAAATTACCATAGAAAAATATAATGCAAAACTTAATTGCATATTTAAAAAAATAAGATCACACACACCTAAACCATGCCTGTAGCTGCCTCCAGCTCCTCACAGAACGCTGATTGGTTTGGACACTGGTTCAGACACAAATGCATGACTTAAAGTCTGACAAGTGATCCTGAGAGTCTCACTTGATGTCGTATTATTGTGAGAACGTAAAATAGTGTGTAGCCGGCAATGAAATGTTCCTCCTGGGCTACTGTAGGACTGGGTAGGCCTCAGCCCCTCCTACTTCCTGGTTCCCAATTTGTTTGTTCCACCATAAATAGCCATACCATGAGCTGCGTCTTTCCCTCTCTCTGACCCCCAGGCTCTCGGTAGCTGTGAGCTTTAGCTTTTTATGTGAGGCATATTTGCCGTGGGTTTCACCCTTTGTCTTATTTTACTCTAGGTCCAGCACCAAAGAGACTCGCACTTCCCCGTCAAGCTTTCCAGATGGGTGTTGTGCAGTGCGCAGGCAGGAGATGTTGACTGCCACTGCTGTTTTGTTTAAGTTATTAATTTAGTTGTATTCATGGTTTTGTTTTGCACGGTTTTGTGTTGCTTGATTTTGCTTT